TGTTGATCTGCTTGAGGGTAGGATGGCTCTGCAGAGGGATCTGGACAGGCTGGACCAATGGGCCAAGGCCAATGGTATGAGGTTCAACAAGGCCAAGTGCTGGGTCCTGCACTTGGGTTATAACAACCCCATGCAGTGCTACAGGCTTGGGGCGGAGTGGCTCAACAGCTGCCCAACAGAAAAGGACCTGGGGGTGTCGGTGGACAGCCAGCTGAATATGAGCCTGCAGTGTGCCCAGGTGCCCAAGAAGGCCAACGGCATCCTGGCTTGTATCAGGAATAGTGTGGCCAGCAGGACTAGGGAGGTGATCACCCCCCTGTACTCGGCACTGGTGAGGCCCCACCTCGAGTACTGTGTTTGGTTTTGGGCCCCTCACTACAACAAGGACATTGAGGTGTTGGATTGTGTCCAGAGAAGGGCAACGAAGCTGGTGAGGGGTCTGGAGGATGAGTCTTATGAGGAGCGGCTGAGGGAACTGGGGTTGTTTAGCCTGGAGAAGAGGAGGCTGAGGGGAGACCTTATCACTCTCTACAACTACCTGAAAGGAGGTTGTAGAAAGGTGGGGGCTGACCTCTTCTCCCTAGTGGCAAGTGATAGGACAAGAGGAAATGGGTTCAAGTTATGCCAGGTGGGGTTTAGATTGGATATTAGGAAATAATTTTTCACTGAAAGGGTTATCAAACAATAGAATAGGCTGCCCAGGGAGGTGGTGGATTCACTGTCCCTGGAAGTGTTTAGAAAAAGGGTAGACGTGGTACTTGGGGACATGGTTTAGAAGTGGTTTAGAAGTGGTTTTGTCAGGTTAGGATAATGGTTGGACTTGAGGATCTTAAAGGTCCTTTCCAACCTCAACAATTCTATGATTCTCTAAAGCCAGAAGAATGTGATGGATAAAAAGGACCATACAGAATATTATAGGGTGTATCAACTGAAGAATAACTGTCAGATGACCTCATTAATTGTCTAAGTACTGGCTAGTAATGCTTGCTATAAAATGGTAGATGTAGGCATGCTGATATCTGAATCCTCAAGGTACCAGGATGCGACATACGTATGTGACACTGTTGTGACACATCAATGTCACTGATGTGACACTGTTAAGATAGGTGAAGTACACATGTTATAGTGCTTTGTTGGGCTTTCCAAATGCAGAAAGGTTTTCTTTGCCCTAGAGTGTATAGGAGTTTCTCATGAGTCAGTATCTTTTATCATGAGTGTATCTTTTAAGGGATTGCTAGATCTTGAAAAATTCCTATTTTTGAAGTTGTTTAGTTGTTCCAACTGGACTGTGTTTTGTGTCCTCTTCCCATTGTCAAGAATTCCTGTGTTGGGGAGAACTCGCTCTCGGTGAAATCAGCAAAAAGAGTGTTGTGTGTGTTGATGGGAAATTAGAAGTATAAATCTAAAATTGCTGCAGTTGTTTCTCAGATGGCACCTGAGAAGGAAGTGCTAGGAAGTTAGTTACTGGAACAGAACAGGAGAAAGGTGGTGGTTTAGGACTGAGATATATTGTTATAAACCATCTGCCTTTTTTTCCCTAACCAATATTTTACCCGTTGTGTAACACTCTTTAAATCACCTGTCTTTCTCACCGTGAAAGAAAACAGTAAAGGAAAAAAATTCAAGAGGCAAATTCACCAATGAATTTATAGCCCTTTTTGTCATTATATTTGATTGAGACAATTTTGTGGTTTAGGGCCCACTAATGCCTTTCACTTCTCTTTCTTACAAGTGTCATATTACTTCATTGGCTTGTATTTTGGTGCAGAGCACATGGGCCAGATGCAGTGCTGATGGCAGAAGGCAACCGTCCTGCTGAGCTGACCCAATCCCAGATGCTTCATATTGCCCAGCAGATTGCAGCTGGTATGGTTTACTTGGCATCACAGCACTTCGTGCATCGGGATCTTGCTACCCGGAATTGCCTGCTTGGTGAGAACCTGCTGGTGAAGATTGGGGATTTTGGGATGTCTAGAGATGTGTACAGCACAGACTACTATAGGGTAAGTGAACTGTTATAATCAGTAATTACTGAGGTCTTGTTTAGTCATCTTACTGCATTCATGTGATTGATTCTACTTTTACACTGGACAGTCTCTATGAGATGATTTAGGGGCTGGCATTGAGAAGCTGGTTCTGAGTAAATACCCATGGCAATTGTTCAGTTTTGGTATTAGTTTTGGTAAATTTAGAGAGAGTTAATCAGAATAAGATTGGCTTGTCCTGTTGATTATATATGTTATTTTCTTTTCTAATAATATCATACAACAGTCTTTTAATCTGGGCAGAAATTTGGCATGTTTGCTTGGCTGTAGTGAAGAAGCATCACATAAAAAGGAAAAGAGGGTAATCAAATTTGGCCCAACTCTCAGAAGACATTAAAATATGTTCTTATACATTTCTAAGACAAATGGAAATTGTAACTTTTGGTTCTTGTATAATATTTCCGTTTACTTAAATAGATGTAATGGTCAGCAGCACTGGATGGAACAGTTATTTTACTTGCTGACAGCAAGCATTTCCTGCTTTAAACCAGTTCTTTAGTCTTACTGTTTATGGCTGAACATTTTTTTTGTGTCACTCTGGTGAGGGCTGTAACTCAGTGGTGGGTATGAATAGCCCGTGGTGCTTGTTCATATTCTGGCCCTGGCCATTTTCCCTGAGCTTGGTTGTCATAAAATGATCTGTGAAGTTTGCAAAGGGCTTCTAGGATCTCTAGGATAGACAGGACTGTGTACACTGATTATTGTTGTTAATGTTGGCTTTGTACTATGTGGCAAGTTATGTAGTTTACAGCATTTGCTGTTCAATACCATGTGTGCAACTTCATGGGTGGAACTGGAGTAAGAGTGGCAGCTATCAGGCTTTTGTAGCATGGGGGAGGCAATCCATGGCCAAGCTGTTAGTTTATAAATGCCAGAGCTGTATCCTGTAACATAAGCTACTCAGAATAACATAAGCTACACATTCTCTGTACCTGCCTATCACATCACTTGTTACCAGTGAACTCCTTATAGATAAAATGAAGGCCTATTCCTTAGCCGCCTTAATTGGGCTGCTGTGCTTATAAAAGAACAGCGTCCCTTGGCACCAGTGTTTCTGCGATGCCTGAAAAGAGATCACCTTTTGCAGTGGGTTGACCTTGGCTGGTCACCAAACACTCCCAGCCGCTCTCTCATTCCCCTTTCTCAACAGGATGAGGAGGAAAATAAGATGAAAAAGCTCACAGCTCAAAATAAAGACAAGGGTGATCAATTACCAATTACCATCATGGGGAAAACAGACTCAACTTGAGGAAAATTAATTTTATTTATTGCCAATTAAAAATAGAGTAGGATGGTGAGAAACAAAAACAAAAACTGAAACACCTTCCCCCCACCCCCTTTTTTTCTGAGGCTCAACTTCACTCCTTCATTTTCAATTCCTCTACCTGCCCCCCCCCAACTCTGAGCAGCACAGAGGGGATGGTGAATGGGCGGTTGCGGTCAGTACATAGCAGTTCCTCTCTACTGCTCCTTCCTTCTCACGCTTTTCCCCTGCTCCAGCATGGGTCCTTCCCACAGGCTGCAGTCCTTCAGGATAAATCTGTTCCAGCATGGGGCCCTCCATGGGCTGTAATGTGGATATCTGCTCCACCACAGTCTCTTCCACAGGCTGCAGGGGAATATCTGCTCCGGCACCTGAAGCACCCCTTCCCTCTCCTTCTTCACCGACCTTAGTGTTTGCAGTTTTGTTTCTCTCACGTTTTTCTCACTCTTCCCTCTCACAGATGCTGTGCAGTGTTTTTTTTTTACCCTTTCTTAAATATGCTATCACAGAGGGGCTGCCAGCTTTGCTGATTGGCTCAACTTTGACCTGGGGTGGGTCCATTGCAGAGCTGTCTAGAACTGGCTGTGTGCGGCACTAGGCAGCCCCAAAGAGGCCACCCCTGCAGCTCTCCCCACCCACTACCAAAACCTTGCCATGTACACCTAATAAAGCTTTACATCTGGATGAGGCTGGACAGGGCAGATGAATCAACACACAAGAGTTATTGTTGAGTGTTTTTTCATTTAATAGCTAAGAAATAGCAGTTTCCTTTGTTCTTTGTCCCTGCTATAAAAAAAGCACACCTAGTATTTAGTAAACATACAAACCAGATTCTTAGGTTTTGTTATTTTGGAAATTTGGCACTTCAAGCTATTTCTTCAATGTAAAACAAGCATGACTTCATTTCATAACTTGGATAAATATACAGAGTAGTAATCTCTATCTATATTTGTGTTTGAGAGGACATCAGTGAGCACCAAAGGCCAGTGTTTGTTGATTTTCTATGAACAGTACTTTTGGGCCTGGGGGCATGTCTGTTCTGTATTTCAATAAGACTGAATTTATTTACCATGTTCATCATTATACTTAAGAATTAATGTTCATGTTTAATAGTAAATGATTGCAAAGGCCTTGACAGAAAAAAATAATGACTCCTTGCTGAAGAAAAGGTAAATGAAAAAAAAAATAAGGATGGAAGCTAGCTAATCCTAAGGGCTTCCTGAGGACAATTGCAACCTGGCACAACCATGTGGTACTGTACTGATTCTAGTGTCATCTTACCTGCTCATGTACCTTTGGGTTTAGTCCTTGATTGTGGCACATGACCACTTGAGCAAAGTTTCCACCTAATGAAGCAGGAGTTTAGAACAAGGCCAAGATTTTGTCCTGCCTGATAGAAAAAAAAAAAAAAAAAAGGAGAAACCAGGGGTTCACCAGAGGAAACTCTGGAGGATGGGATGGGGAGGGATGCTTGAGTGCCTCTCAAAGCCCCTCATTCAAGTGATACACTCCATTTCTCATGTTTCCTTTGTCTCTGACTCCCCATCATCAACATTAATTCCTTTTCTCACATGTTCCTTTCTCTTTGTCACTTGCCCACATCTCCCTCTCTGTCACTTTGTCTTCTCTTATCCAGAGGCTGAGTGGAGATCAGGGAGGAGAGAGAGAGAAGGAAAGGGACAGTGTGAGTAGTGAAGAGGGTACGATAATGGACATGAGAGAGGGAATAAAGCAGGAAAGGAAAGTGGAGAAAGGTGTTAGTAAAAGACAAAAGTGTGGATGAAGGGAGAAAGAGGTAGACAAGTGTCCAAAGGGATGAATGAAAGTGTAAAGTAGCATGGCTTCATCCAAGTTTGTGGAGTAGCTTGCAGTATGATGCGTAGATATGAAACTTAAATTTGGGCTGTTGCTTGTTCTGCACAGTGAGAAAATCAAGAAGGACCATTTCTTCAGCCCCTCACACTCCAGCTGGCTTTTGACTGGCACAAGAACAGGGACAAAGGGACAAAGCCACAGCCTGCCTTGCCACCATCTTTCACACTGATAAAAGCTGGAAGTTAGAGTCGAGCCTGTGAGATTTTGGCTTGCCCTGATAGGGTCATATGTGGGCTAGTCAGAGGCTGATCATGAAACAGTTAAGGCAATTATGACTTATCAGATGGTTGCCTGGAGAATTATGTCCATGGCAGACCTAAGTAATAAAACTGTCAGCAATGACACTGGGATGGTTCTGACCTACCATACCTGATTGTTTGTAGCAGGATAAGTCTTTTTAACTGTTCAGGCTTAATTACATACATGGAAGCGATTTTCCCCCAACCTTGACGGCTTTATCTGATATTTATTGGAAGGATTTCTATAGCTCCAAAATGCTCTGCAAAAAATGGTTTGGTAGTTATGTTTATTAACACACTGGAATCAGTTTTCTGCGATGCTGCCTCCCTGTCAGGATGTTAGATTTGCCCAAGATGATTATTTATAGTTTGCTTCTGTAAGATAAGGATGATCCCCAGTCCTTGTTCACTGTTAGATTGTTAACAACATTCTACATTGAATCAGCTCAGGGAAGAGTGGGAGAGAAATAACCTTTCAGCTAGGAATATGGGTTTGAGGTTCAGTAGGGGCTTTTACTTACTTTGTTGATGTCTGTGTTTTGTTGTTTAGACTCCTGTCCCTCAAAAGTTAGTGTTTCCCATCTTTCCTTTGGACATACAAATAATGTGACTCTTCTGCACTTTTCAGTGGCTTAAAGTATAGACATTGAAGCATGGGAACAACCACTTTGCTAATATTTGTTCTTGCATGCAGAGATACTATTTCAGACCCACTTTAGGCTTACAATTCAAGTTTGCAAGAGCATGCTCAACATTTGGTCTTAAATACTTTTCTGGTTTTCTTTATCATAAGCAAAAAGCTCAAAAAAGAAAAAAAGAAAAAAAAAAGAAAGGTCAGCTCACCCCAGTACTTAGAAAAACAGGGATATGCTTTAAATATGCAGCCTGGTCAGCCAGCCACAGGCTTGAACCAAGATGTTGGATGAAACTGTGATCTTAACAGGGTAAGCAAGAGCTTTGCCATCAACTTCATTAGGACCACAAATTCACCCTTCTTTTTGTCTGTCCAGCGTGGCATAAAGACTCTGATTTAGATTTATGGAGTTAAGATGTGTAATATCTATTTAGCTATTAAATAGCTTATTTGCCTTTATGTAATAGTGCAAAAAACAGCAGAGGAAATAAGGAGTCCTTGTCTCCATTTGTACATACCATGCAAGGACCTGTCAGAGGCCTGGGGCTATTAGTGAGGTTTCCATCTTCCTTTAGGCCCAACTTGCACAAAAGGGATGGGAAGGTTTAGAAATCTCAAATTCATTTCTACCACTTCTGGCATAGATGGAGCAGAAGAACCCAAGAGGATATGGTTCAGCATAAAGTCCAGTGAGCTGTTTTTTCTTTATATCTCCTGCATATCTTGTACCATGTTTGTTGCTGTTCTTCTACTATTTAAAGAGAGCAAAAGATGTAGGATTGGAAGAGGTGACACAGGTTACTGCGTCAAAGCCTTCCACTATTGCAGGAAGCCACATATCAATTGTTAAGGGAAGACCACAAGAACCTCAGGCTTCCTCAAGTTACATGGAAAATTTCAACACCCACTAACACTTTTAGCCCCTTTTATATAAGGCACCAAAACC